CTCAATAAATACACACTGCCTATGTAAATAGCTTCTGTGACAGCTACTCTTAATTCTAAGCTATCTGCCCAAAACAAAAGTTACTAGATTCACCCCGATCATTCAGTAACTTCTAACAACCACTATATTGGTACTTTATGTAGTTTATACAATAATATCTAATAGCCATAGTCATACACCAAGAAAAAAATCAGAATAGCTTTATATAAAACTTTTATAGCTTTAAAGGTTTTTAATATTCTAGCATATCTCATTAAATGACATCAAACATTTCATTAAATAGATGTCATACAGTCTGCTATCCAATGTCTATTTTACAAATAATGTTTAAAAAACACAAGAATGCATTAAAATCTGCCTACTCAACTTTCTTCTAACTCTAAGAATTCATTAATCTGGCCAATTGCCCTCATTAAGCATTTTTCACAGGTGGGAAAGCTCTTTTTAATGACCCCTATGCCATTACAAAAAGACATTTAATTTCAACATCTTACAAACAACTTTTCTTCAATCTTAATTTTTTTTACATCTGTGATTAATTTTTCCTCCCTTTTTTATTTTTAATGTTTTAAAGTACTGCTAAAAGCCAATTTTATATCATTCTGTGACTCTTCCTTTTGGCCAACTGACCCATTTTGCCATTTTCAAATCCCTCTTTTAAAAGGTCAACTTAATCTTCATACTTATATTTTCAATTCGCTGATAAATTCAGACTCACTTTATATACACCATAAAAGGCAAGAATGTTTTGGGGAAAATGGCCTGCTGCTTTGAAATATAAATATAACTTCCTTCTAAGTGAGTAATATGTTACATCAAAATCATTTTGTGTATAGCCCTGACCAGTGTAGCTCAGTTGGCTGGACATCATCCTGCAAAGTGAAAGGTTGCTGGGTTCGATTCCTGGCCAGGACACACGCCACAGTCCCTGCTCAGAGCATATTTCTCTCTCCCATCCCCTCTCTTAAGAATAAAATCTTTTCTTAAAAAAATCACTTTGTCACTCTGGCTGGTATAGCTCAGTGGATTGAGCAAAGGCCTTCGAATCAAAGGGTCACCTGTTCAATTCCCAGTCAGGGCACAAGCCAGGGTTGCAGGCCAGGTCCCTGGTAGGGGGAGCACGAGAGGCAACCGCGCATTGATGTTTCTCTCCTCTTTCTCCCTTCCCCCTCTCTAAAAATAAATAAATATTTTTCTAAAAAATCACTTTGTCTGTAAACTTTTAACAACTAGTCCTTCAGTCCTCTCGTTTAATAGGTGTTTCTTTTTTAATTAAAAAAGAAATCATGAGAAAAGCACTAAGGCAGATTTCAGGGAAAAGACCCTACATTTTTTTTCATTCTTTGTATCTGGCCTCCCGCAACACAAGTTCTTTACACCTTCTCTACCAAAGGCAAAGTTCACATGTCCTTCATGCTTTCGCATTTTAAGATATAAAGAAAAAACAGAATATATAAAGTTCACATGCTCTTAATCAAATGTCTTACAGACCTAATATTTAATACTATCACATGTCTAATCCATAGTGAAAAAGTGATTCCTAATCTCTATCTTGTAACATATGATGAAAACCACTTAAAAGAGGAAGAAAAAAATTCGTAACTAGACTCAATTCATTAACAACTATCGCAGGTATTATGTCAAAGCTATGGAAATACCTGGCTTGGAATATAAACCGATCTATGTTCCCTTAAGTAGGAGAATGCTAGTAATTAAGCACTTTAGCAGCAGACCATACACCCTTATTTACCAGAAATCAAAAAGAACTATTACTGAGAATAGTCTCACAGAAAAACTATCTGCACAGTAAACATATCCAAGAGTAGAAAATATGGTTAGGTGTAAAATATGCTTTAAATGATTACATGGGGAATTTAATTGGAAAATAAAACAATTCCTTTATATTGTTTCCTTCATCTTACAAATACAGAGGGAGGCATCAGCAGGGAGAAAAATCAGGACGATAAGGTTTAACAAAAGCCACCTACAGGCTTCTCAGCCTCCCAACACAACCACAAAGCATTTGACAAAACAAGAATATTACTCTCTGAGGGACCGCTGCTCCATCACCTCCACGTGGAATCTCTGCACCTTCTCACTGTTCTTTTGAGTCTCATGTTACAGAAGCATGTTCATTTCACTGCCACAGTATTTTTCCCTAATTGCCATCTGTAATTTTATAGTCTGCCCCTTTTTAGGAGCCTAGAACTGCAACATACCTTACAATTTTTAATACAGCATGAACCTAAACTCTCAGAATTTTAGTTTTCTAATATAATTAATCCAGATGACAAGTATACTTATCTCAGTCACATACTTTAAAGTCTTTTACAAAAGCTCCCCGTTTTAAGTTTTTTTGTTTTAGTTCAACTGCATACAGTAAAACAGGAAATACTAAACAGATCAGTATATTTTTTTAAATACTAACATCCCACATATCAATGTGTAAAGTAGTAACATTAGAAATGAAAATCAACTGATGTGATTTGAAAAGATCAGTGAAATAAACTATCACCCAGAGATACAATCTTCAGTATAAAGTTCAAACTAAAATATTTAAAAATAAATCAAATGCTTACTGAATGTCCACTATGTGCCATTTATTATTGGAAAAATAAATATGCGTTATGAGTTTAAATGTAAATGGCCTTTACAGTAGTTGAGCTCCTTACCTGGTTTATCAGAAAGGTAAAGGGGAGTTTATGCAGAAGTTGAGAACACTCTGGCACTAGTGAGTATCAGAGCCCAGTGCTCAAATCTTGTTCTCCTAATGACTAGGTCCATGACCTTGGGCAAGTTATTTAGGTTTCAGTTTTCTCACAGGTAAAGAGAATTATAATAGTATGTACCAAATTCAGTCATTTAGAATTAAATTAGGTATTTCATGAACCATGCTTAGCATGGTACTCAGCACATAGTAATCACTTAGTATTAAATACTATTAGAAACTCTAGTAGTAGTTTACAAAGATTATTATCATTTTAATCTAGAGTCTGCAGAGCTAAAATGCACTTCCAGCTGCTATCGGTTTTCTGAATGGTACAGTTTAATTCTCCATCAAGTCGGGTCTTCCCACGTTCTTGGGGCTATGCTAAAAGAATCCACTCAGAATTCTTCCCTATAATCCATATAAAAAATCTAATACTAAAAAGAAACTGTCTACATCCTATATAGCATCTATATACCAATGTTCTTGTGTCAGACAATGCCAGAATGAGCAGTGACTGACTTGGTATCCGCATTTATTAGCTCCACTTGCTCATCCCTTACAATAAATGCTTTCTGGGTTCCTGTCCCTGCCACAGGGGCTCTCAATTGTTATGGAAAGCCTACATTGCAGGACAAGAAGAAAAAAGTTATAGCTACAGTCCTCAAAGTTCTTTTGTTCTAAGAATCTGAAGCCAATGGCCTCTGTTGCTGAAACTCTATGTACATGGTTTCATCCTTATCTTACTGACCTCTCTGTAGCATTTGACCACTTTCTCTTTCTTCAAAATCTCTTTCCGGGCCCTCAGTCACTGGCTTTGGTCCTCTTGCCCCCACACTGAAGTGCTATATGTTCCCTAGATTCTCTTTATCTTATTTTATAGGGATGCTAGGTGAAATACTTAACGTGGGCCACCAAGGTGGGTCAGGGGCAGATTCTGGCAAACTTTGCTTATTGGAACTGACTCAAACCAGTTCCAATAAGCTAGTGCAATTTAAAAAATAAAAAAAAAAAAAAAAAGCAGACTCAAGGTTTCTGGTTTTTCAAAAGAAGATAAAATTCCAAATAATCCCACAAAATGTCTTAATTTTTTTCCATGTCAGCAGTTCATTTAAACTGTTAAAATACTAGATGTAGCCTAGCCCTGGCTGGTGCAGTTCAGTGGACTGAGTGAAGCAAAGGGTCATCAGTTCGATTCCCAGTCAGGGCACATGCCTGGGTTGTGGGCTGGGTCCCTAGTTAAGTGTTCGAGAGGCAACTGCACATTGATTTTTCTTTTCCTCTCTCCCTCCCTTACTCTCTCTCTAAAAATAAATAAATGAAATCTTTAAAAGAAACAAGACGTATCACCTTGAGGAGTTTACTTTATACATCTGCACCCTCATCTATGAGATGGCAGTGATAAAGTCACGCAGAAAAAGCGTGGGTCAAACAAGACTTCTTCTTGTTTGAAGAAATAAGAGACTATTTCTTCTCTACATCTACCCCAAGACTAGGTTATTACCCAAGTTTCAAACAAAATGTACAAAATTATGAATGTGACTACATTTTTCTGGAAAAGGGTCCATAAAGTTCATCAGATTCTCAAAAAAAGGCTAAGAACCACTGACTAAGCCAAGTTCTTCTATTTCTACAACTTCAGCTGTTGTCTATCCAAGGACGAGTCCCAAATCTACGTCGAGTCAACTCAGGCAGCTACTTTACCTTTGGAACCAGCCACTCCACTTCTCTCCATCTGCTCCTCCACTGCCGCCACCTCAATCCAAACCTTCCACCTCTTCTCTGAAGCTCTCTCACTGGTCTGATTCCAGTCTTCCCCTCCTTTATTCCACTCTCTGTACAACTCAAGCCCTTGAAAACGCAAACAATTTATTTGGCCAAGGGCCTTCAGGGTCTGCTTGCAAATGTAAAAGGAATGCAAACTCTTTAGCCTAACACATAAACTCTTAGGACCTGGCCAGGCTGACCTCTCCCTCCCCCACTATTAATTCCCATTCCTACAACTCCCACAATTTGCAATACAGAATACTCTTGTGTTTCAGGCCCCACCTTCAGAAACGGCCTTTCTAAAGCTTTTCCCATTTGTTTAGGGCGGAAACACCCCTGCAAAGGCCTCACTTTACGGCTTGCCCCAGGGCAGCCAAAATAAATAGCTTCCCTGCCTCCAGGCAAATCTATCCCTTATCATTCACGATTGTAAATGTCAGCGTTTTTCCCTTCCCCACTAGACTAAAAACTCCTCAAGGGCAGTGAATGTGTCTCTGTATTTCAGGGCCCATAGTTACTTAAATGAATGAAACAGCCACAGCTTCAGCAGCTCCTACCGCCACCTACTTGGGATAAGCATTCTGAAGTTTTAAAGGAGGAGCTAGAGGTAAAGTAAACCTACCTTCTTAGACCACTAGTGTACTTAGCACTCCTTTACATTTACCAGGTCACAGAATTCGACAAGAGAGACCAGACCAACATCGAGCTGCTGAACGTTTCTGTGAATATACTGCCCCTTTTTTACTGGTACAAAAATATTTACTTGCCCCACGAAGGTAATTTTAACATTCTATCTACTCACTACTCACTAGTATTATTAGTATATACTGAATCAATAACTCATTCACACTGAAAAATTCACACGGAGAGTATCGGAAATCTTTATAGAGAAAAATAATATCTAAAGGTCATGCACCAGGTTCTACACGAAAGGCTTTCTGTACAATTCCTCATTCACTCACCACAGCAACCCTAGGAAGAAAGTATGTTGATCGCCTTCTTTCACAGATGAAGAAACTGAGAATAAGATGAAGTAATTTGCCCAAATCCCATAGGTAGGATTCAAGTCCAGGTTACTTCCAGAGCCCAAGCTTTAAACAACAAAAAAAAACTACACAACATTGTTAAGTGGAAAATCCTAGGATTAAGTTTATGTTGTATCCACACGCAAACACACAAAACCACAAAACAGAAAGAAAACAACAAAACATTAACAATGGTTATCTCCTGGGATAAATAGCTGTGAGTGGAATGGACATGAGAAAGAATTATTTTCAGTCAGAAAAAAAAAGCAAACAATTATAAGAAATGGTATTTAGATGGTGTTAATAGAGAGGTAAGGTGAGCTAAGGGAATTAATACTTAAGGAGCACCAACTAAGAGCCAAGCACAGGGGCTATCTCACCTCATCCTTACATCAAAAAGTGCTATTTCCATTTTACAGGCAAAGAAAGCAAAGATGAAGTAACCCATCCAGTAGAAAAGCTGGGATAAGAACCCAAAGGCCAGGCAGGCCAAACGTGTCTGACTATAGAATATCGCGTTAACAAATAAAATCTAACTGAAGAGCTGTCTTAAAAAGGGTGTGAACCAAGAAGCCTGCCATCTTATGTGCGTGCAAGGAGGGAAGAGAGAAAAAGAGGCTCCAGATTTTACCTCTAAGCTTGAGTGGACAGCATCTTTACAAGTGTCTCCAAAGAGCCACAAGTATTGTCTAAAATCAGCATTACTAAAGTCAGGGCCCTGGGACAGAGTTACATTAGCATAAATTCAGTGGACTTGGATGTAACTCCACTGTACTTACAGTAGATATCTGCTCTGGAGAAAACTTGCTGCCTCCAACTCACTCTCACCTATCCGCCCACTGCTTACCAGCTCCCAAGTGTGTGTGAGGAGACACTAGGTTAGGTGTCCACAGAACACTGCTAACTGCACTCAGAAATAAATGACCTCTCATTACCCATAACCATCGTTCCGAACCTGTACAGAGAGAGCTGCCAACCCTGGGGGAACAGCTCAGGTAGGAATGAATGGATCAGCACTTTTTTTGTAAGTGACTTGTTTAATTTTGGATGCTCACACTTAAAAATTCTTTAATCCATCTAAACCAAAATTTCACTTCTCTAAAAATAGCAGTGACACGATTTCCTGAGAAAAATAGTTGGGGTGGGGTATACAGATTTCCTTCTATGATCTTTCAGAGGAAAAATTGATAATTTCAGACTTACAAATCAAAATAAATATCTATTTTTGAAACTAAATATTTGAGTCAAAAAGTACCTTACCGTAGCAATTTGAAATTAATTCTGTATTTGCCCTGTAGCCTTTTATTAGTTTCAAATAAATAAAAAACAAACTCCACCATCTCTTCAGGAATAAGTAGCCCTTGAGGCAGTTAGGATTAGGAAATTAATTCAAAACTTTTGGGATTTGTACATAAACAGTTTTTGAAGCTTAGGAATGTGAAATTAAAGCTGTACCTTTAAAATACCAAATTATGAGGCAAGGAGTTTTTTTAACCTTAAAATGTCCTAAGAAAAGAGACTCATCAAATGATTTCTTCCAACCAATATGCTCTAAAAATGACAAACCACAACAGAAGTAACATCTTTGGATACACAAGTATATAAAAACGTCCAAGTCAATAAACAATTTCAATTAATCAATAACGTTAAACAACCATTAAGTGTAATTTGCATTTTTGTCTGAAACCCATATGACCTCAAATATCATGCTTTTCTTAAGAACAATGCTAAATGGCTGGACATCTATCACTGGGGAAACAAAATTTTTATTTTAGGCAGACCACAGGAAAAGACACACAGTAAGAATCTCGGAAGGAGTCTCACCCGCCTGCCTGACAGAAGTCAGCACGGACCAAGTCAAGGGCTACCCATGCTCTGCAAGTGCCCGCTCTGGACTGGGTAACAGTGCTCTGCGGGCAGAGTGGGGGACACTTCTGCCAGCCAACTCCAGCCTGCCACCAGGCAGGACACACACACATACACACACGACATCCTGTCCTAGGTCCACTATAAAGGGAAGGGAGGGAAAAGAACGAAAAAGAACCTCTCCAAACTTGCCCATACCGGAGGCTGATGGTGGGGGGCAGGGTACATTAACATTCCAACTTCCACACTAAAGAACAAACCAGGAGGTTAAGTGTAGCCACAGGAAACATCCCATCGCTGAAAACCAGGGCATCTAGATTTGAAATTTTAAGTTTTCAACTAAAAAAAAAACAAAACTTTTAAAGCTCATGGCACCAAAATATTACTAAAATTGAACCCATTTAAACACAGAAAAGAAAACCATACACGATGTCAGCTATGTTCAGTTTCCCGAGGGCTCTTCACACACCCTTCTGAGTTGCAGCAATAACACATTTCCTTAAAACCCCCATTTTTCTACTGCTGGGGCCGAATATAAGATATTACATAAATGCAAATAGTTATTATCAGAATAAATCCGCCACGGATCTTTAAACCGTGTCTCAGGAGCTGCCCTGCCCACCTTCTCTGCCTCCTAATTTTTCATGCTTCCGAGCGTGCTGACAACCGAGGTCTCTCCCCCTTGGGCTCTCTGTTCACGTGCTGGTTTCATCGGACAGTGACCCAACAGGACGGGAAACTCCGGCATGTGGGGGCCGCTCCAGAAACCCGGCCCTCTCTCACTGACAGTCCTCACCGCTCCCGTTCCCTCCAGCAAGGGGCTGCCCAGGAAACGGGGCTGAGACCCGCAGGAGTCGGGATGAAAGGGCGGGGGTGGGGGGGTGCCTGGATCTGAAAAGAACACCCCCTGGGTCCGGGGTAAGGGCTAAAAAGGCGACGAGGAAAGCCAGCACCGACAGAAAGAAATACCACCTGAATTTACCTCCTCCCTTCCCACCGCAAAAAGCCCAGTCACTAACTAATACGCTAAGAAAAATCGCTGGAAAACTTTCCCACACGGGAAGAGAAGGCCCTCTCCCCAGCCTCGGGGGCGCCTGGGGAATGGGCTGAGTTCGCAGCCCGGGAAGGGCTCGCCGGGGAGTGGGGTGGGGCGCGGGCGAGGGGTGCAGGGGCGGAGTACCTTCAACGGACAGGAACTGGCAAAGAGTTTCAAAATAGCCGAGTGCTCTCCCCTACGCCCTCGGGGGTCGCGAGCGCTAGGACCAGGGCTCCCCGAAAGGAGGGCAGCCCCCCCATTCGGGCCTAAAAGGAAACTTTCCGGGCCGCGGCTGCACCTGACTCCTCACCGCCCCACCACCCCACCCCACGCCCGCCCCGCCGCCTGCCCCGCCCCGGCCAGGCCGCCCAGAGCGCGGAGGAGGGGGATAAATAAATTTAACTATTACCGGGATGGGGGAGGGGCGTTTGAGGGAGACCGGGGGAAGGGGAGGGTGGGCGCTCGGGGGTGGGCACCCGTTCCCCACTCCTAGGCCCCGACGCCCCTGTCCCAGAAAGCCCGGCCTGCCGCCCCGCGGGGGAACCTCGGGGCCAGCGCCACACTCGGCCCCGCGGCGCCGCCGTCCCGCCCGGAGGCCTCGGGGTCCCGCAGGGGCGCGGGGAGGCCCGGGTGAGGGAGGTAGGGTGCGGTCGCCGCGGGGCCCGCCGCCCGAGGCCTAGCCCGCACCCCCACCCCGCCCCACACCCCCACCCCGGCCCGCGTAGGCCGCGCCGCTCGCCCTGCTCCGGCCCCGGCCGGACCCGGGTCCGCCCGCCCGCCGTCGCTGCCTGCGGGCGCCCCAGAGGCCCCCAGGTCCCCAGCCCCCGCCACCCCGGCACCGACCCCTCTCACCCCTCCATCCTGTGTCCTGGGCCTGGCGCAGGCCGGCGAATCCCCGGTCTCACGTAAGCGCGCTCGCCGCCCGCCCTGCCTGCGCGGCTCAGCCCGCCGCCCTACGGGAGCTCGGGGATGTGGGCTGGGCCTGGGGCCGCCTCTGCTTACCTTTCAGCTGCTTTTTTTTTTTTTTCCTCCTTCCCCCCTTTTCCCTCGGCTGGGCTGACAGATCTGAGAGGCGCTGGCAATGGACTAGGAAGCTCGGCTGCTGCTGCTACTGCTCCCCACTAGGCTCCGGCGAGAGCCTTTCCCTGTCAAGCAAGAGGGGTGAGGATCATATTTTTATTTTGGAAAGTAAAAAGTGCTCCCAGGGTCGGTGATTATTAAGGGGAAATCCCTGAATATACTCTCCAGCCAAGAAGGCAGGGCTGCCGGGGCTGCACAAGAAGAGGCAGCAGCCTCCTACAGCACCACTACAGGCACTGCGAGGACATAACACCAGAGAGCCGCTCCTCTGCCCTCCGAAACGACAACTTTCCTACCATCTTGGAGGCAGAGGAAAGGGGGGCCGGGGGGAAAAGTGCACCCGCTCCCGATAAAGTACAAATTTCTACTTCTCAACTCTGGAAAAAGGTCCACGCCGGCCGTCTACACCAGCACCTGGGGGGACAAGCAGGGAAGAAACTGGGGGTGCTTGAGAAACGTTTTCCTTTGCACCAGGGGGAAATATGTTTCTGCATCTTCTGATGGAAAGAAATCTTTACAAGACCCAGGTTTTCCGGTGATTATTGTTTTCTATTTTCTGTTTTTTCCATGTTAGTGGAGGTGGTGTTTTAATTTTTTTTTTCAGGATCATAACGATTTTTCTCCGTTACAAATCTAAGTTCTGTGTCTGGTGTCAGTTTATAAATTTGTACTTCAAGAGACTTCAGAGCCACTTTGTCTTTATTTGTCTATTTATATACTTACTTACATGTTTGTCTATTTATTTATATATGATATATATATGTAGATATTTTCCTTATATATAAAATTTTGTGTTATATATTCCCCTCACAACTGAGATTGCTGAAAAGACAATTGTAAAGGATGTCTTTTGTCTCCTTTTCTCAGAGCAATGTAAATAAAATCTATTGACTGCCCAGAAAGGCATGATATATAGCTGTTTATTTTTCACAGTGCAAATAAAGGCAGAGGTCACTGAGGGGTTAAATACAAATTAAGTACAATTGACCACGTTTCTGGAAATAATCCTAATTCCTTTATGGTCTGCCCAGGAGGAAAGGTTACTGTAAAGCTGGTAATATATTTTAAGGACAGCTTTAGATTTTAAATAAAATGGCTTATTAGCTATTCATTATATCCAGGCATTTTACTTTTCAAGTTTATTTAGATTGTTTTAAGGTTTAAATTTTTGGTACATTACACAGGTTGCTCTCTACTTCCTGTTGGATCACAGAATGGAGAGATGTGTGTTTGTTAGAGGTGAAATGTTGTCTGTTCAGAACTTCCAGTGTGCTGCCAGCCTTGTAAATTACTTTTAATATATTGCAGTAGATGCCATCAATCCTTTTTATTTAGCAAACCTTGGCAGATAAATAGAATCCAAGTTACCCGATGCTGAGGGAGCACAGAGGTGAGAGAGAAAGGTGCCGCCCACTAAAACAGTCCCCATAGAACTCTCCTTCCTGGAGGAGAGTGAATTGCAGAGAGATTTTTCTATTTTTGTGAGAAAGAGAATAATATTAGAAAATAACCAGAGGATCTTTTTGTTTGTTCTACAGAGAATGCTGAATCTTATACTTAGTTTATTTTTCTGACACATGTTGGTTAATCTAGTGAGAATTAATTTGTAATATTACTGCCTTGAATATCTTTCATTTAAAATTTATTACAAGGCATTTAAAAACAACTGACTCTACTTCAAAATGTTTAATTTTTGAGCTTACAAATTTAGAATATTAAAGTAAGTTCAGATAATGCATGTATCGTTTTCCATGTTTCATTTATCATCTAAATTTGAATACAGTACTCAAATCATCGAGGTTTTCTTTTGCGATTGTTTTTCTTTCTCTGATAGAAGAATGTAAAGTAATTAAAATTAATTTTCATCATCTTGGAAACTTGAGTTGGGAAGTTACGTTCTATTTACATTTTTAAAAAACAGTTGTAGATCAAACACATTGGTCATGCATAACAAGGAAGTTACTGCTCTTCATGGAGAACTCTAGTGGACTTGAAAAGCATGTTTTTCAACAACTTGTTCCTTGTGTATGACATGACTTTATAGATACGGTTTGAATTTTTTAAGAAACTAAGATGTGTTTGCTTTAAGCCGACTGCGCCCTTTTATGCAGTCCCTCTGGTGACCAATAAACTTGTTTGCATGATGTGTATCTGGGTATAGGGACATGGTGGATAATCTTAGCATTTCAATGTCTTTCTCTTTGTAAGCCCAACCAAGAAAGCAATCCCACCTTATTTGCAATATTGGTGAATTTGATTGGTCAGTATTTTATTTCAGTTGATAATTGAACTTATTTCAGTTGCTATGTCTCTAATTCCTAGAAGCTGCAGGTGCTAACAAAATTACCAACATAATTAAACATATATAACCCTATGTTTGCCCAATAAAATTCCAAGTACTCAAACTTGACTAACATTATTGAGCACCTAATGCATCTTTGTAACCTTGCTGGATACTTTTGTGCATGTGCTCTCATTTAATTCCCCCAAGAGCTCTAAAAAGTATTGTTTTTCTTTCCTTTTTCTCCTCCTTTTTCTTTCTTCATCCTTTTAATTATAGTTAAGATAACTGTCTTCACTTTCAAAGAGCGTAGACCTACTTGGCCCTAAAACTTTCCAATAAAATTCCAAATCCTCCTCCTGCTCTCTAGACTTGCCGAGATGCCTACCATATGTGTATCTGGAAATGCTGAGTTCCTGCCATGTATTCTTGTCTTTGCTAAAAACAGACTTTGAGTAGCCAGCAACACTCATTCATTCAAAAGTGGCAGCCAGTGGCTTACTTCACCTTTGTGAAGTCTGGTACCTAAGTCTATACAGTGTTTTAAGGAATGCAAAAAAGTTAATCTATTTTTTGGTTGAAATGCATTGCCTTTATTGGCAAATATTTGCAGACAGAATCACCAAGTGCTTAAATAGACACCAACAGCAGACATGGTTATACAAATTTAATGGGATTTTTATTTGAGGGGAGGAGAGGGCTAGGGTTGTGCATATAAACCCTCCCTCATCATACCAATGTTTCGTCTACCATTTGGTAAAGGCAGACTCTACAGTCATACCAGGAGTCCCTAGCTAGTGTAAAAGCTTCCAAGGAGGTGCAAAAGTAGAAGTGAAGTGTGTACAGAGGCTAAAGTTTTTAAAACCTATTTTGATGGCCATAGAAACAATTTTTTTATTCACTTTAAGCATTTCTGTTTTGGAACCATTTGTTGGTAATGTTTCTACCTAAAACAAAGATTTTGGTTTTATTGTGGTTACTGTGCCCAGCAAGGAAATGTTTCTGAGACAAGCGTTGTATTTGACAGATACCCATTTCATAGCTTCTTCAGACTGTTTGTGTGATATACATTCAGTTATAGCCCAAACACATGATTGGGTAATCTCCCAAGTTCTAACACCTACCCTGGGGCACTGAGACCCAGGAACTAGTTTTACTACCTGATGCCAAGTCAGAAACCAAGAAAGTCTTTTTTTTTTTTTTAATCACACACAGGTCCAAAAGATACCCTCTAGGAACCAGATGGTCACTTGCACCAGCAGGGGCAACACATGTCCCTGGTGTCATTTCACTGCTTTCTCGTCACAGGGCAGGCAGAAAATGTGATGTCGCAGCCTGGGCTATAAGCATTCTTGGGCCGCTCTACTGACTCGTATCCTTAGACTAAGGAAAACAACTTTCCAACTGAAGTCATTTTCTAAGTAATGATTAGTGGAGAGGAATACCCTAACGCAGTATTAAAGATTGGATTTGGGTAGAATAGCTTTTCCTAAGTGATAGATTTTTCTGTAATTTATAATGAAAAAACCTGTGTCCCAGAAGGGGTGATTAGCTAAAACATTGTAAGAAGAGAAATCCATAGAGTCCTCAGAATAATAGGCATGGTTCAACACAAAGGTGACACTGTTCATTTCTGTCACATTCCTGGTTAAGCAAGCTTTTGTGGGCCCTCTGGGAACTTAACCACTATTTCCATGGGAAAATAAATGCCAGGTTCCAAACACCTGATGTACAATAATGTCTGGAACCCAGCCCATTTGCAAGTTTGGACTTCCCTGTACTATAATGTCTTTGCCATATATTTGTTACTGACCCAGAATTGAATAGTAAAGCTGGGAAAAGCCTCTCATTCAATTAAAATAAGGAGTAACTATTAACACAGTTCGAACATTTGAAGGTTTTATTTATTTTTAGAGGGAGAGAAACATCGATCAGCTGCCTCTTGCGCACCCCCAAATTGGAACTTGGCCTGCATCCCAGCCATGTGCCCTGACGGGGGGGGGGATCAAACCAGTGACCTTTTGGTCCACAAGCTGATGATCAGTTCACTGAGCCACACTAGCCAGGGCTGAGACAGTTTTATTTAAATTTGAATAAGAAAGATTATCATATAAAAATGGCAAGGCTGTAGTTGTAGTACACCAGGAAGGAAAAAAAGACCTCAGTCAGTAACTAATAATTATATTCTTTGCATTAATTGTATATATTGGTGTTGCTATTTTATGCATATCTGGATGCTGTATTATGTTAGAGTATGTATTTGCATTTTGTTTTATTCTTAAGGAAAACCAGAGAGAAATGAGGGGCCCAAAGTAGATAAGACTCTATTACAATTTTCCCCACCTTGTTCATTAGCCTGATGCTGCTTTTCCCTGACTCAGCAAGTCAGGGACATCTTTGTCTTGATGCCCCCGTCCTCTGCTCTGCCAGTGAAATCCCACCCTGCTTGGATGCCCTGCTCAAAGTCTTGTCCCAGAAGCCTTCTGGTGCCAACCTGATTCTACAGTGACCTTACTTACTCTTTAAGACTTTGTATTATTTTCTTGGTTTTGTGGAAATGGCGGGGAGGGGGGGTTCTTACCAGTGCTCCTCTTATGCAAGGGATGCCTTGTGGTTAAGAGCTCAATCTCCACTCAAGGCCATTTGGCTTAAAAAACTAGGCTCCGCCACTTTTCTTGGTGACCCCTGAGCAAGCTGCTTAACTTCTTAGCTTCCTTAAAACAGGGACAATAATAATACCCACCTCACTGTGTTGCTGTGAGGATTAAACAGCCCAAGGCAGGGTCTTCAGCACATACGTGCTGTGTTCAGCTCAGCTGCTTTATTTGGATGCTGGCCAATGAACACCTTACAGACAGTACAGCTCAAAGTCAGGAAGTATTATTTTGTTTGTTTTGTTTTTAAACAGTCCCAAGACAGTGGACTTAGCAATAGTCACAAGCTGAATTCAACACACACAAAAAAATGAAAGAGGAATATGATTATAGCATACCAGATGTCTTCATTAAAACAGAAACAGTCCACTGAATTTTTTTCCCCAGATATTTTTGAATACCCAGGTAGTTGAAAGTCTGCAGCAAAGAACTTTAAATTTAGCTGGACTTTTGGTGTCCTTCAGACTCAATCACAATCTTAAAAAATATATAAAGTGGAGGTACAGGAAGAGCATTTACAGAATATATAACAGGAGAATATTGTGACCAGTTCAGGCCTCTTTCATTAGCCATTCTAAAGAAGAAATGCATTTAAGTTTCACTATGAGGTATTGAAGAAGAAAGGCTTCTGTGACAATGAGGCATAAAAAGGATCATGAAATATCTCCAAATAGAGTCATCCCACAAAGGGAGTAGTAGGTGTTTGATGTGTAATATTTCCAACTAATATTGTAGCACTGTGACA